TTTATGTTCCAGTACGTCAGAAGTCTTATCCCAGAATATCTGAAGGTCACCGGAAATGGAATCTGGGTTCTTACTGACCGTATCGGATTGGTGCTACGAATGTGATATGTTCTAACCTGTGCATAAATTGTGAAAGGTTTTCTTTGATGTGTAGCGTGGGAGTGGCTCAGCCTGGTGGCCGGACTGTCAGGCTCAAGAGGGATTATGTCCGGCAGTATTGTCATTCTGCACAGGCTCTTTGAAAGCAGCTAACATGAATGAGTAAAGAGACTCGCGTGCAGGTGCGAAACACAAGTAAATGCGCGTTGAAATGAGGTGATTACAAGTTAAGTTAACCTGTTTCTTACTAATCTCTTCAGCTCAGTACAAAACTTAACAAGGATTATGTTAATTGTAAGAAGAGAACAAACCTTCGCATTTATACTAGAACCCTTCAGTAATTATTATTATTATTATTATTATTATTATTATTATATTCGTGGTGAACTGCTAAATCATTGGAATTATACAGGGCCTGGGGAATGGAAGGTGTTCAACTTTAATCCAAAAAACGAGGGAAGTTTCAATTCTTTTAATCCAAACACTCACTTCATTAAAGAGTATTAATAATAATAATAATAAAAATGATAAATTACATAAATTATTATATTATACTATATTTATCAATCACTAAACTGGTGTGGGTCATTCACTGCAAGAAATGGTGGTGGCTCGATCCTTTGTCCAGTAATGGCGAGACAGAAAGGCCATTACTGAAGCTACGCTTCCCCTTTGATAATTTGTATGAAAGACGAGTCAATTAAATTTACAAATAGATAGTTATTACTTGCAATTATAGAAGCATTGTCCAAATCAATAGAGCGGGGGGGAAGATAACTCTAACAACTCCGCGTTACGACTCAAACCGAAATTCACAATGATGTGAGTGAAGCATTTCGAAACTCGTGAAGCAAAGCGTAAAACGAAGCAATTATATAGTGGTCAGAAAGTTGTTTACTGAATTACGAGGACCAGGAAGGACACATGTGGACACTGAAGACACAGATGCATCATAGAATTTTTATTATTATGGGGAGCGTTAAACCTGTAGGGATTATATAGCGCCTGGAGGTGGGGGGGGGTAATGGAAGGCATTCAGGCTCAGTTCAGGGAACTGGAGCACAGATCCAATTCCCTATATCAAGAGCCCATCATCAGCGTCAAGGAACCTCCCTCCCCTCAATGAAGGTTCCTTGATGCTGGTGAGGGGCTCTTGATCTAGGGAATTGGATCTGTGCTCGAGTTTCCCGACTTGAGCCCGGATGCCTCATTCTTTAAGATGGCGGTTGAAAAGTAGATTGAGGTAGAAGACGTTAAAAAAATCAAGAGACCAGAAACGAAGAATGGCGGTCAATGTAGTTTAGGAATCGGTGTCTGAAACCGAGACTCGATCCCCCCCCCCCACTCCTCCAGGAAAGAAAACTTTAGAATGTATACACTTTTTTCTCATTCTCCCTCATTTTCTCATTCTCTCTCTCATTCTCTCTCATTCCGTCTCTCATTTCCTCTCCTGGGAACGAAAAATGCAATAAGACATCGTTGGAAAACAAGCAATTTTCTGCAGACATTTATGCCTGCAGCTGGGAATAAATCCTATTATTCGAAGCTGCATTCCCTATTTGACTCGCAAATTTATTCCGACAAATATAACTCTTGCCCCTTATTTGTTTGTTTACGAGAGAGAGAAACATTTGATCGTCCCTCGGTGTAAGGTTTCTTCCGAAAATACAACGGATTTGCTATTTTTTCTGGTTTCATATCGAAAACTTGCTAAATAGATGGTCCCTTACATATAACAGCGTTCCCAAGTTCTAAAACACAAAAGCCCTCACACCCTACAACAACAGTGTCCCTCCTGCACCCCAACCTCAGTCCCTACTCCTCCCCATCACCCCTAACGCCACCCCCTACCCCATACTTTTCTCTCATGGTGCGAGGGACTTTCGCTTCCTTCATAACATATTAAATACTGTTAGGAACAATCAGAGGTGTAAACCCTAACTTTTGAGTGTTAATTATAAATATGTAGGTGTGTGTGTGTGTGTGTGTGTGTGTGTGTGTGTGTGTGTGTGTGTGTGTGTGTGTGTGTGTGTGTGTGTGTGTGTCAAACATTATGTGGATGTCCTGTCAACATTGATCAGTAGGCCTACTTGGGAGGAATTGGAGGGTTACCTTCCTTTCTGAAGAATCATTCGCTTATGGCCTCCTCTTAGGCCGTAAGTGAATGATTACTCAGCTTTCTGCTCTTTTCTTATAGCTCAGTTAAATTCCAGTCATTTCTGCATTTCTTGATTACACAAGATTAACTAATTTAAGTCTTAATTATAAATTTGCCGGCAATCTAAAATTAGGATGGATTTCCAGAATAAAAGTCACAGTACCGTGGATGAAACAATTCACAAAACCCACAATACCATGAATAAAAAAACTGACAACCCATAATACCGTGGATGGCACAATTCACAACTAACCCAGAGTTCGGAGTGGAAACATAATACGATACTTCCATCCGTCCTGGATCCTTGATGACGACGGAAAGAAATAGAAACGTGATAAAGCTTTTTGCACCTGGACAAATAACTGGTACACAGTCGAGCTCTTATCCACTTAACTTCCGACCTGGCATCTTAACACTGACCTGTGCCACCGTGTGTATGTTAGAAATCTCCTGGTATTGAAAGAAACTGAGCCACCAGGTCACTCTAGAAAAATGGAGCCTCTTGATAGGGAGAGGAGGGGGGGGGGTGATAAGAAGCGTCGGCAGAAAGTGTGCCTACAGCATATAGGTTCCACGGTCATAGGCAAGGCCTTTTGTTGGTAGCCTTTTGTAAACTATTGACACGACTGACAAGCAAAATTGCAAGCAAGCAAGCGCACACGCACGCACACACGCACACGCACACGCACACACACAGTCACTGACGTGTATAGTATGCAAAGTCATGGAGAAAATTATCAGAAGAGTGGTGGAGCACTTGAAAGGAATGAACTTATCAACAACAGCCAGGACGGTTTCATGGACGGGAAATCCTGCGTCACAAACCTACTGGATATCTATGACAGGGTGACGGCAGTAAGACAAGAGAGGGGTGGGTAGATTGCATTTTCTTGGAATGTAAGAAGACGTTTGACACAGTTCCACACGAGAGATTAATGCGGAAGCTGGAGGACCAGGCAGGGATAACAGGGAAGGCACTACAGTGGATAAGGGAATACCTGTCAGGAAGACAACAGCGAGTCATGGTACGTGGCGAGGTGCCAGAGTGGGCGCCGGTAACGGGCGGTGTGCCACAGGGATCAGTCCTAGGACCGGTGCTGTTTCTGGTATTTGTAAACGACATGACGGAAGGAATAGACACCGAAGTGTCCCTATTTGCAGATGATGTAAAGTTGATGAGAAGAATTCAATCGGACGAAGACCAGGCAAAACTACAGAGGGATCTGGACAGACTGCAGGCCTGGTCCAGAAACTGACTCCTGGAGTTCAACCCTACCAAGTGAAAAGTCATGAAGATTTGGGAAGGGCAAAGAAGATCACAGACGGAGTACAGTCTAGGGGGACCAGAGCTTACAAACCTCACTCAAGGAAAAGGATCTTGGGGTGAGTATAACACCGGGAATATCTCCTGAGGCGCACATCAACCAAATAACTGCTGCAGCATACGAGCGCATGGCAAACCAAAAACAGCATTCCGACATCTAAATAAGGAGTCATTCAGGACCCTGTACACTGTGTACGTTAGGCTCATATTGGAATATGCAGCGCCAATTTGGAACCCTCACCTAGCCAAGCATGTAAGGAAGCTAGAGAAAGGGCAAAGGTTTGCAACAAGACTAGTCCCGAAGCAAAGAGGTATGTCCTACGAGGAGAGGTTAAGGAAACTCGACCTAACGATACTGGAAGACAAGAGTGTTATGGGGATATGATAACGACATATAAAATACTGAGAGGTATAGACAAGGTGGACAGAGACAGGATGTTCCAGAGATGGGACACAGCAGCGAGGGGTCACAGTTGGAAGCTGAAGACTCAGATGAACCACAGGAATGTTAGGAAATATTTCTTCAGTCACAGAGGTGTCAGGAAGTGGAATAGCCTGGGCAGTGATGTAATGGAGGCAGGATCCATACATAGTTTTAAGAAAAGGTACGATAAAACTTACGGAGCGGGAAGAGTGACTGGGTAGCGGCGAGTTTAAGAGGCGGGGCCAGGATCTGTGACGCGATCCCTGCAACCACAACTAGGTGAGCGCGCGCGCGCACACACACACACACACACACACACACACACACACACACACACACACGCACACACACACGCACACACACACACACACACACGCAAGGAAGCTAAGATAAAATTAATATCTAAGACCTATAACTTAAGTTTGTCATAATATCAAGATGAACTCTTTTTTATAAGTCATAAAAAAACAGTAATTTTACTTGCAGAGACTTTTTTCAACTTTTTTTTTAACGTGCGAAGTCACTCGCAGTTGCTGCCTCAGCGATCGTTACGGCTATCGCAGTCGTCCTTATGAGAAAACAGGTCATCGCCGCTTTAATCTATCATACGAGTTGTTATAGTTATATGTTCCTCTCACTTTATCTTCCTCTTCCTTCTCCTCTTCCTATTCGTCTTCTTTGTGGTCGTCCGTACGCTTCGCTTCCTCCTCCTCCTCCTCCGTCATCGTAATATGTCGACCAAAAAACAAGTGATGCAACAGACAATATTCCCTCTGGGTCACCGCACTGAGACACTGCAACAAGGTGTCAGCCCTTGGGTCCTTTGTATTGTCGATCTTCATGGATCTACTCTGTATTACTTTGCCCAGCATATGTACTAATATAAATATAAATATATATATGAAAAAGTTTTAAAAATTAGTATATTTTGAGATCATACCTCAGTAACTCTAGCCCTTTACCACTGATTCTCAGACCCATTGTTATGTATTTACCTGTTCGAGCCGAGATGCTTGGTATATGGGTAGTAGTACACACACACTCATACACATGCGCGTAACACCGTTTTTTTTCACAGGTAGGCAACACTGTTCGCTTACTCATACAATCTGTAAGCATCCTGGTAAGTCATTTAGGACTTGGTAATCATCTCTCTAAAGTCTGGAGACTCGAGACTGTCTTCCTCAGCGGCTCGCGATCACACTATATCCGAAAACCACCTATTCACTCACACAGACTTCAGAAAACTAACCTCCTCCCCTAGCAGGCATGATCGTTACTTGTTAATGTCGACTACACGACGGTCATTAAGGCAGTAAAGAATACTTTAGACCATACAACAGAGTTTAAAGAAAACTTAGAGTATTTACACTGAGAGACTTACACCTTTCAGTACGATTAACCTTGTTATGTGTACATTGTAGTAGTACATCCACATGTTAAATTCTACTTTCTTACATATTTTAAGATATATGTTATTTATTTTCTAATGTTTTAATTTAAAATCAATTGTGTTAAACAGCCGTATTTTACATATTTATCAATGTAACTAGAAAAATGGGTTTTGGAATATTTTAACAACGTTTTACGTAATATAACTGAACTTCATTTTTTTCATGATTGAATTTTAATACGAACTCATCTTTCACGAACTCATCTTTCACGAACTCATCTTTCACGAACTCATCTTTCACGAACTCATCTTTCACGTATTATTTGTAGGAACTATTACAATTTTGGTTCCTTTATAGTACTAGTGACGGAAAATGTATCTCTCGAATCGTTTAACTAAATATACTGACCCCTAACTCCTGGCCCCTGATAAAAAATAAGATTCCCTAGGGACAAACCCATTTCTGAGATTATTATGAGATTATTCTCGTACTCTCGGTACTCTCAGCTCATACTCAGTGCTCTCAACTTGTCACTAAAACCTCCCAGTGTTTTCATAAAAATAATCTGAATGTTAGATTCTCCTCACACTAAAAAAATTAGCACAGTAACATATATTATTAAATCTGTTATGAATGATGGTAACCTCATACATCCTCCATGTTATATAGTCTGGCTATAGGTAAACAGTATGTTGGCCATTAACAAACAGCAGACTAGCGCGGTTGGCAGTGCCAACTTTTCCAATGTTTACATTTTAGGTACCAAGTTGTAATATTTACAGAGCACTTAGAGTTATAAGGTCATCCAGCGAGTCCGTCAGTAGAGAGGTATATATACTTACACACACTAACACTTATATACATTAACACTTACACACATTAACACTTACACACATTAACACTTACACTAACACTTACATTAACACTCACACACTCATTTACACTAACACACACACACATTAACACTTATAAATGACTGGAAAGGTATGGTGATTCCGAAAATATGCAAAGACACAATTTAAGTAACTTTTTGAGGCGAAACGTTTCCTAAATGTGTTAAACTGTGCATATGTATTATCTACAATAATTACAAGGTATACAGTAAACACTCATGTATACTGAAGCTCATACAATAATGCACACTTACACTGACACTCATACACACACAGAAATAAAACATTCACAATAGCAATAAAACAGTATATCACTCAGAAGTAAAACAATAAAAAAATCAGAAATAAAACGCTCAGGCAAAGAAGAGTAAATCACTTAAAGAACCAGAATAAAATAGCACTAAAACACTCGATTAAAAACAATGAGGGAAAGAAAAAAGAAAAACACAAAACACACACCAAAAAAAAAATTACAAACAATTTATTCTTTCAAACATCATCACTTCAAGAGACCAAAGTGTCGCTCCGCAGTCGAACCTTTTATTGCGCGGACACGTTATCGGCGATCGTGGGAGGATGGGTGTTGGTGGGTGTGTGGGAGATAATGTGTGTGTGGGAGTTGGTGGGTGGTGGGGACTTGGGTGGTGGGTATATATGGGTGGGGGAGAAGGGTGATAGTGAGGTGGTGGTGGTGGAGGTGGGGAGGGTGCATCGTAACGGAAGTAATGACCGCGCTATCAATGCCCCGATAATGCAATTGGGCGCAGTGCTAGTCTGGGAGATGGAGAGTTGAGAATAATGGTTGGACGAGAGGGGAAGGGGGATGGGGAGGGCAGAAGTGGGAAAAAGGAATAAAGGAGGCGAAGAGAAAGATGAGATAATCGCAAAGACTGGACAGCACGGGATGAAAGAGGATGAAGACAAAACAGTACGCTGACAAGCGGTATTTCAAAGGCTCATCAAGAAAGGAAAAAATCTTTTTCCCTGCTTAAATCGTCTCTGAATAAATAAGAAAACAGGGATGATGATGATGATGACAGGGTGAAGGACGGAAAGAGAGGAGACAGAGAAAGAATAAAAGGCCAGAACTCCAAGAGAGAGAGAGAGAGAGAGAGAGAGAGAGAGAGAGGAGAGAGAGAGAGAGAGAGAGAGAGAGAGAGAGAGAGAGATTGTTGTTGGCTCAAATCTTGCTATTTTCTTGTCGTTTTGAAGTTAAATTGAAGACACCGAGTTGTTGGATCAGAACTTGCGTGTTTCTTCTGGTTTCAAGCGGAATTGTAAAAATTTGGAGTTGGTGGATAAAATCTTGTTGCATGTTTCTATCTGAGATTCTTTAAGATTCTGACATACGCACTGTGAACACCTGAGAAGATGACCAGGGAGGAAATGGGACAGACTTAAACATTGGGAAAGACGGAAAATGTGTACTCAAATTTCTAGTCACCCATTTGTTGTTGTTGCAGCAGTTCTCTCTCTCTCTCACTCACTTGCTCTCTCTCTCTCTCTCTCTCTCTCTCTCTCTCTCTCTCTCTCTCTCTCTCTCTCTCTCTCTCTCTCTCTCTCTCTCTCTCTAGCATCGGTTGCTTTTAGCATAATTGAATGTAAATTGCACATAACACAAAGCCGATAAAAGAGGCACTTAGTGGAAATGAATGGCAATTGGTGTTTGAAGTTAAGTTTGACTGGTCCGTGAAACAACAGTGTTAGTGCGGGGTGAGCCATCCATCACTCGCTGCTTCAAGTTAATTATATTGCCCCTTAAAAAATTAAGTAACATTCTATATAATTTCTGGTATAAAGTCACTTAACAGCAAAGAAGATTCTTTTACATGTGAAATGCTCATCTTTACGACTCTGTCACTGGTTTACTGCAACATGCAACGTAAATACGTCTTCGTATTAAAGGTGCCAAGACGCAGGCACCTTTAATATTGTAGTGATATTTGTCGGCTTGCAACCAGTCAGTGAATCGTACGCCATTCTTTTTTTTCCAAAACCTTGTATTTTATTCATGTAGATAGTTCTTCAAATACGTGGGGGTTATAAATCTATTCTGTTTTTAAGAGTTCGAGTGATTATCGGCCGCACTGCTCGCTCTCAGGAACGGCTTTCTAACGTATTATTATTATCATTATTGTTATTATATTTATTATTATTATTATTTTCATTAGGGATAATACAAAAAAATAATATTTTCACCATGACGAAGCCACAGATACACGCATAATTACAAACATAAAAAATCGTTCTGTTTGAATACCGATAGTTGAGTGGATAAGGTAACATGTACATTGTGTGGTCTCTTGAGGCGGGACAATGTGTCGTGGGGTCGAATCCTGGCTTGCCGCAGTTTATAAATAACTAATAAGAGCATAAATAGTAATAGTTTGTTAATACATGTGAGTCTTGCTGTATCTGGCACATATTTGTATGTGTGCGACGTGTCAATGAACCATATATGACCGAAACGTTGTCAAAAGTTTCTGTCTCCAAGCTGTGGTTTGTTTCTGCGCATTTGTGTTATTTTGCATTGTTGAGTGAGTTCACTCGTCATCACGCACTCTTATACTAGATAACATCCTCGCTGTCCTAAATACGTCTCTTCCTCTTTCTGTTCCTCTTCTTTCTTCTCCTGCTATACTCCTACTCCTCCTTCTCCTCTTACTCCTTGCCCTAACCTCTGCTACCCCTACCTCCTCCCACTAACATCCGCTACCCCTACCTCCTCCCACTAACCTCCGCTACCCCTACCTCCTTCCACTAACATTCCTACCCCTACCTCCTCCCACTAACCTCCGCTACCCCTACCTCCTCCCACTAACCCTCCGCTACCCCTAACCTCCTACCCACTAACATTCCTACCCCTACCTCCTCCACTAACATCCCTACCCCTACCTCCTCCCACTAACCTCCGCTACCCCTACCTCCTCCCACTAACCTCCGCTACCCCTACCTCCTCCCACTAACCGTTTCCCACTCACCCTTTAACCAAAAGTCACTGGGAAAACTGATTATGGTGTATCACTCTGCCAATACCCTCCGCCGCCCATTACACTAAACACCCCTCCCACACTCCAGCGAACCAACCTCGTTACTGCTCCCACCCCTCCCAGCGCAAACCACACTGTACTGCCTCCACACTCCCACGAAACCAGACACCCTACTGCCTCCCACACTCCCACCACTCTTCCCCTACACACACTCCGTACCCTAAACTAAGGTCATGTACGAGCACTCAGTTCACAATCCAAGATCCCGGGTTCGATACCCGGGCAGGTACACTTCAAGTCAACCTAAGTAAACTATTTTACTAAATTCTTATATATATCTATATATCTATATCTATATAATATTATATATCTATATCTATATATATATATATATTATATCTATATATATATATCTTATATAATACTATTATATATGTGAACATATATATATAAATAAATACATATATATATATGTACATATCTTATATATAATCTATATATATATATATATATACTCTTATATATATATATATATATATAATATATATATTATAAAGGAAAAATGATATAACGTTTATTATGTCCCGGTCATTTCATACCTGCAGATTACTGTCCATTGCCACCTGGTCCGGGACCAGCCATCCTGGTGACGGCCTGATCAATCAGTTGTTGATCAGGCCGTCAGTCATGCTGAAGTATTCAAAGAAACTGGTAAATGGATCAACCAAGAGAGCTTCATCTACATGCCGTTTGCCTGAGATAGTTCCGGGGTCAACCTTCCCCTTGATCACCAGGCTGTTGGTGCTTTCCTGTTGAGCAAATATACTAAACAGTTTACCTCTTTATTTAAAAATCATTATTGCCTCTTTACTTTACTCCACCCATACCCTATTAATTCTCACCTTAACAACCACCCCATACTTCCCACCTT